AAATTTTCTGAAGAAGGGTCTAGGCCCGAAACGTCAGCCTTCCTGCTCCTATGATGCTGCTTGGCCTGCTGTGTTCATCCAGCTCTACACCTTGTTATCTCAGATTTTCCAGCATCTGCAGTTCCAACTATCTCTGGGCTGTTAACAAATGTTTAACAAGCAATAGTCAGAGTCAATTGGCAACTAGCCACTGCCTAACTAGAATCTCATCATGCTGCGTGTGAAAAGCATGAAAGATCATGCAAGTTGCTTCCGATGTTGAGATGGACTTTGCTCATTTCTGCACACATCTCACATAACTCACGTTGCACAGATATACATAAGATTATGGCCACACTCTCTCTTTTATGAGAGACTTGATCAAATGCCTTCTGCATGTATATATAAATAATACTCAGACATTTTGCTGTTTTCTGCTTTCAGTATATCTTCAAAAAAATTGAGTCATGCTTGTGAGGAATGACCTACCTCTTGTAAATATATGCTGGCTCTCTCTGATCAGCTGAATATTTTCACAGTATCCTTTCATCATATCTTTAATAATAACATTTTAATAATTATCCATAATAATGGATTGAGAACTGGTTGGCCAGCAGAAAACAATAGAAATAAACAAGTCTTTTTCTGAGTGGCAGTCAGTGATCGCAGAGATCAGTGCTTGGACTGCCAACTATTCACAATGTATATTAATGATTTAGATGAGGAAACTACATGTCACATCCCCATGTTTGCAGATGATACAAAACTGGGCAGGAGGGTACGTACGGGATGATGCAGAGAAGCTTTAATGTAATTTAAATAAGTAAGAAGGTAAATACATAGCAGATGCACTATAATGTGGATAAATGTGAGGTTATCCACTTTAATAGCAAAAACAGGTAGGTAGATTATTGAGGTTGTTGACTTGCTTGCCAAGCTGGCTTGTTTTCATTCAGACATTTTGTCACCATGCTAGGTAACATCATCAGTGAGGCCTCCAATGAAGCGATATTGTTCTACTCCACTTGGAACTTAAACTGTCTATTATGGTGAGTAGTGCCTTGGTGAGAACATACCTGGAGTACTGTGTGCAGTTTTGGTCTCATTACCTGAGCAAAGATGCAGTGGCTATGGAGGAAGTGCAAAGAAGGTTTACAGGTCTAAATCCTGGGATAGTGGGACTGAGATACCAGGAGAGACTGAATCAGTTTAAAAGAATTAAGAGGACTCTCACAGAGACTTATAAAATTCCAGCAGGATTAGACAGGGTAGATGCAAGAAGGATGCTTTCGATAACCAGGGAGTTAAGCATTAGGAGTCTCAGCCTAAGGATAAGTCTTTTATGACAGAGATAAGGAGAAATTTCTTCACCCAGAGAGTGGTGAGTCTGTGGAATTGTCTGCCACAGGAAACCGTTGAAGCCAAAATATTAAAGACTTTCAAGAAAGATGTAGATATAGTTCTTAGGGCTAAGGGATCAAAGGGAGTATTGATAATGCTGAATGGTGGAGCAGGCCTGAAGGCCAAATGGCCTACTCCTGCTCCTATATTCAGCGTTTCTATGTTTCTATTCAACACCTGATGATATGCTAATTGATGCTTAATTCCTTTGTTTTCCTCTTTCGCTTTTCTTGATTAAAAAAGCCCTTGGTATGTCGAGTAAATGTGTAACAACAAAATATGTATATTAATGATTCAATATTTTTAATTCTTTGATGTAGTAAATCCCAGGGCACCATTAATCTTTTGCATAACATCTAATTTAAATAATTATTGCATGTACATTTTGATATGAATAAAACATCTGATCTAATTTTAACATTGATAAATAAAATTATTTGGATGAAAATTGAAAAGTGTATTATTACAGAGATCAACTAATTTAGGATTTTTTTTACATTTTCAGCTATTAGAATGTTTGAATTCTTGGATTCTTTTCAGGAACAATGTTAATTGGATCTGGAATATTTGAGTACAATCTTCCCAAACTTCTGAAAAACAAATTCAACTACGAATTATTTGTTTTAAAATGATCATTGTATAGCTTTACACTTATGATTTTGTTGATATCACTGTAGGTTGAATTGCTATTTTTTTCTTTCCAATGCTTTTGGTTTGAAATGCCATCTCAACCATTACACATTACTCAAACATTACGCAGAATAGAGGTAATGTAGGTTGGGGACACTAAAGTTACAGCTAACACAACTTGCTTAATACTTCTCAATCCAAATTTTCTGATAAATTACACTGGCAAAAGATGAACATTTTTATTAAGTTAAAAAACACAAAACTACTTTATAACTCACTCCATTCCAAACGATATAAGAGAGACGCTAACCACAACCAGGTCAAGTATGTTGAAATAATTCCTGCAGAAGGAGCCTTTGTGAATGAATGCACCATAGGCGGTCATCTGTGAAAAGTGACACAAAGATTTGGCCATAACGATATTTTTCAAATGAAATATAATTAAAACAAAGTCTTTGATAACTATAAAAACATTGTTTAGTGTTTTGAAATATTTAAATAGATATGAATTAAAAGATTATTTCCAACTGAAAACTGATGCACAGGGATTTACCCTTGGCTTTTCCATTTCTTAAAGTGATGGACTGACTTTAAATCAATTGGAAAATGTCCAATCAAATAAGTTGTCAAAACAATGACTCTTCCACAAATCACTGGTCTCCCATACATATACTATCTTACACCGACATGTCTTACTTTTGATTTATTCTTTTAAAGGACGTGAGTGTTTCTCACTAGATCAGAATCTAATACCTATCTCTAATTACTCTTGAGATGGTGATGATCCACATTCTTAAATTATTGCAGCTCCTGTGGTGAAGATACACTTCCAATACTTTCAGGAAGGATTTTCCAAAATTTTGATTCGCTGACAGTGAAGGAACAGTGAAATAGTTCCAAGTCAAGTGGTATGTGGCTTTGAGGGCAAGTTGGTGTTCATCATGTTCCCATGCAGCTGCTGGGCTTGTCCTTTGAGGCAATAGAGGTTGCAGGGTTTGCAAGGTGCTGTTGGGAACAAGCCTTGGTGAGTTGCTGCAGTGTATCTTGAAAGTGGTAGACATTGCTGACACTATGCTTCTACAGTAAATGCAGGGTATGTTTAAAGTGGGAAATCGCATGACAACCTTACAAACTGCTTTGTACAGGATGGTGCTGAACTTCTTCAATGTTGTTAGAGCTGCACTCATGCTGGTGAATCAATAGTATTCCATCATACTCCTGACTTGTGCTTGTAGACGGCCAACAGGGTATGTGGAGTCAAGAAGGGTATTACTCACCGCAGAATTCTGAGCCTCTTACCTTCTCTTGTAGCCACAATCTTTATACGGCTGTTATTGTTCAGTTTCAATTTCAATGTTACTTCTGTACTTGCTAGATGTAACTGGTATTGCATGACAAAAGTGACTTGTTCTTACACTAATGCCTGTCTTTTTGTCTATACTGGAAGTAGTTTTTTTAGCGCTAATAAGCTGAGAAATTTGCCTACATTCAGAAAATGTCTGGAACTTGCATTTGAAGATAGTGGCCTGAGACCTCTCACTACTGATCAGCAGTAGATATAAATTGGCCATCCTAATGAAACTTGACAGTTGAGGTCCACAAAATAAAAATATCCAAATGAGCATCGATACAAGAGCTTCCTAATGCTAAACTATAATTTTTTTTGGAAATTGTTTAAAGAAATAATTAAATCTACATGAAATTTAATTTCTGTAACCTATTTATTTCGTGCAGGTTAAGGCATGAACCATTTGGTTCTGATTATGTTGTCTTCACCTAACTTAATATTGCATTTCACCATGAGAAATCCAATTTATTGTGCAATTACATACACATGTCAAATCTGTCAAACATCTTTGGATGAGCTTCCTTCTCAACATAAGGTAAATTATGCTTTATAGTCTTTTTCAATGCTGTACTTGGGTGGATTGGTTACTAAAGCCAAGACTAGATATAGAAATATTAGAATCAATGGACTCTCAAAGTTAACTCTGTTTCTCTCTCCACAGATGTGGCCATACCTGCAGAGTTTCTAAAGAAATATGATGTTTCAGTGCTCCCACCTTGAAATGAAGGCACTAGTTTCGTTCTTTGAGTCAAAGACCGTTCAACTGGGTTGAAATAATTATTTTAACTATGATGAGTGGGTCCTATGCATAGTTACATAGGGAAAAAAAGCAGGAGACAGAAACTATTTAAGTAGTTTGTGAAAAGCCAGCTTGGATGCAAGAGTCACAGAGTTGTACAGTACGAAAACTTCTAACTCCTGAGTAACTATTCAACCAACCCCATGTTTAACACATACACACTCAACCACAACTCCCCACACTCCCTACACTTTCTAGACCATGACCTGACACCTGCTCTTGTATCCCCACCACCACGCTCTCCCCCTAACCCGGTTCCTTCATCCCCACCCTGCTCCAGACCCAACATCTTCATTCCCTTCCTCTGGAGCTGGTACCTCCCTTCCCCACTCCAGAACTGACACTGACTTCCTCCGCCCCCCATTTTTTCCCACATTAGGCACTCCCTCACTTCCTTTGCTCTGAACCCGATCAACCTCCATCCAATGGGACTTGCAGTTCTACTCTGGCTGTGGAACTGATCTTCCTCTATCTCCACGGGACCTGAGCTTCTCTTTGTCCACTGTTGGATCCAACCTACCAGGCAACCCTTCCTCTACTCTCCTACCCCTTTAGATTTGATATCTCCCATTCACCAGAACTTACTGAAAACACTGCATCATGTATCTGCCCCCTACCCACCTGGTACTCTACCCTAACACCCTACCACTTAACCACTTAGCATCATACTCAACTGGCAACTGCCACTTTAACTACTTGGAACCTACTCAATTTGCACCCTAACCATTTGGCACCTAACCTCTCCACTTGGAACCTATTCTTTTCACACCCTGTCCACTTGACACCTTACCCCATACCCACTTAGCATCTTACATACATAGTACCCTATCACATGCCCATTTGGCACACAATTCCCACCTGGAACCCCATTTACCTGGAAGCCTACCCCCCTGGCATCCTAACCTCAGACTTAACTGAGGTACTTACCTTTAGACTGTAGCTGTCAATGTCTGTGATTCTGTACATTTAAATTTCAGAATATGGTAGCTGACTGCATGAAAAGGAGGCAAAGTTTGCCTTCCCCCAAGAATTCTGCACCATGAAAGATCTGTCAGAACTCTGCATCACTCCTCAGAAAATCTGGCCCATTATTCTCCATATGATTTTGACTTTGTTCAAAATTAGAATAACTATTTAATTGAAAGGAATTCAAAAGAATCAAATACTAGCAGATCTACTGTGGCATTGTTCATGGTACATATAGAGTTTACAGTTTTTTTATATAAGGAATAATAAATTATACCATGTTGAATCTTACATAAGTGTCATGCAGTTATGGTATTTGATTATGTCGATAACGCTTTAAATGAATGACTTCCAAACACATCCAAATTGATTTCCCCCTTCATTGTTGTTAATTACCCATTCATGATACCTAAATTATTAACAAAGCTAATAAGTCTAAAATACTGGATTAAAGAAATTAAATTATTAGCTCATAAAGGTGCTTGGCTTCTGATCCCTGAAAAGGTACATGAAATTCAGTACCGCAAGTTCATAGTAAACAGCTGAACAGTTATAAAGCACATGTACAATTGCCAATTTGTAACGCTTGCTTTATAAAACAGATGAATTGTAGAAAGGTCACTAGACTTGAAATGTTAACTCCGCTTTCTCTCCACAGATGCTACCACACCTGCTGAGTTGCTCCAGCAATTACTGTTTGTTTTAGATAAATTGTAGTCCTTTTTGAGGCTATCAAACGTCATATCTTAATAGTGTAACTAGATGTCTTTTACTACAGATTCAAGTTGCAACATATCTGACTTTCTTCCTGTTTTAAGCTCTGGTTTGTGCCAGCTGACCCTGAATGTCAACTTATGTATACCATTTGAAGCTTTGCCATAATCAGTAATCCCACAAGAAATTCTAGGTTAGATTTGCTGCATTTGTACTTCTAGTATATAATCTTGCCCAATGAAAGTACATATGCAAAATGGTACGGGTATAATCTTGAACATTGTTGCTGTCCTTTCATGAGTCACTGGATCTGCAGTTTTCAATTTCTTCAGCATGTCTTTTTGTAAAAGGACTCATGCAGCATCATTTAATATTTTTGTGATTATTGTTCATAAAAAAAGTGTAAATTTATTAAATCACACAAACAAAATTTATATGCCTTACCTTTAATATGATTTCCACTGTAAAGATACTCGTGAAAACATAATCTGCATAGGTAAGGACCTGTAAAATAAGAATATAGCATTAAATTCAGTGCACTTTTCTATAAGCAAAGCATCGTAAATGTGAACAAGTAGAATTGGAAAAGAATGGCCAAAACCATAATCATACCTCAAAAGGGGTTAAATATTAATTTCTAGCAGATTTGCTGTGGCGCATTGTGGCATTATTCATGGCATGTCAGTAATTTGCTATTTTTAACTTACAACATATAGATGATTATGTAAGGACCACTCCTTTACAGCAACTGTATATATCACATTCCATTTTTTACTGAATTCCTGAATTGTTTCTGGTTCTTGGAGTACTGAACCGCTTGATATTTTTCATTATTCTAACTATAAACGGTTGATTTATATTCTTCTGCTATGTAAAAACAAAAATATCATCAGAAATATACCAAAAGGATTGTGAATTTCACGAGTTCTGAATAGACTAAAACATGTAGATAATTAATAACACTAGCATAGCTGTACTTTAGGAGAGGTTTTTTAAGAAAATAATTATTACAAGTAAATAGTTTGTCCAGGGTAGTATTAGACCTCAAGGATGAACCTTCAGGGATTGGATCTGTGGATCATGACAATCAGGCACTGCATTTTCACTACAGACTGAAATTTGCTGAGTAAAGGCAAAGAAATAAGGATACTGCATTGTCTAAGAGAGAAGAAAACTCAATTCGTTTTCACTTTCTAGACCTTCTGTCTGTGAGCATTGGTATTTGCCCCTTAAACAGGCTGTGGTTTGTTATCTTCAAATCTTCTGTCAATGTAGTCTAACTTTAACAGGACCCACAACAAATGCTCTACAAATTTAAATCAGAATTACGGTTTATTCATGTATTGAAACCCAAGGGATCATGTCAAGACATGCATACACACAAACAAACAAGGAAGATAAAAAAAATGAAAGGAAAGAGTTTACTCTTAAGTATCATTGCAAAAATATATGAATACTATTTCACATGATTATCAGGGAAAGCTAGTATTCATTTGGGATTCTTTCCTGTAGGGACTCAGTTTCAGGCAGGTTCAGTAAGTCAAGGCATGAGTTACAGAATTTCTTTTGAAGTTGGTATATTGAGAGACATGGTTAACTTGGCTTGTCTGACTCTGCTCCCTCCATCCCTTACACCTAATCTCGCCATAGCATCTTATATATATACATCTGACCTGTACCATCTACAAATGTAAATGAACACAAGGCCATAAGGTGCAAGAGTTGGCCATTCAGCTCCTCAAACTTGCAATGCTCTTCTAATAAGGTCATGGCTGATCTGCCCAAGGCTTCACATCCACTTTCAGGCCAGCTCCTCAGAGCTGTCAACTCTTCCACATTTCAAATATCTATCTACCTCTTCTATAAGGACCTTCAGTGATCTAGTCCCCACAACCCTTTGAGGTACACAACCCGTGATACACCCTACAAATTTGTCTTCCATGTTACCCTTGCCCATTTGATTTTGTCCAATCAATATACAGATTAAAATCACTCATCACTATTGTGCTGCCCTCTTACATGCCTCCATTATTTCCTGATTCATAATTTGCCCTATAGTGAAGCGAGTCTTCAGGGGCTTATAGATGACATCCACCCATGACTTCTTTCCTTTGCTACTCCTTATTTCCAAACAAATAAATTCTACATTACAATCTAATGCATCTATATTAGTAGTCACCACTATACTAATATCATCCTTCATTAACACTACATCATATCCATTACTGTATTTTTCCAAAATATCACATTGAACATTAAGTTTCCAGTCTTGGGCTTCCTGCAACCATTGCTACCTCTGTAATAGCTATCAAGTCATATTCATTTATTTCTATTTGTGTCACCAGCTCACCTATCTTGTTAAAAATGCTATACACATTCAGCTAAAAAGCTTTAAGCTGTGACTTTACCATTACTTTTATTCTGATACTAAGCTCTGCTGCACTTTTCTGCTTACTTGCCATCACAGTTTGATTGTTCACCTCTTCACTATCCAAGTTCCTCTCCAACTCTGAGGTCATTAACCCTGGCACCAGGCAAACAACACAGCGTTCTGAATTTTCTACCTTTGCTGTAGAGGACAGCGACTATTTCTCTCACTATGAGCTATTGCAACCACATTTCTCTTTTCTCCTGAATGATGCTCTGTACCATGGTCCTTAAGTCAGTGTGCTCATCCACCTTTCAGTCCGTGCACTGAAGACATCGTGTGCAAGAACATCATACCTATTAGGCAACAATACTGTCTGAGAATCCTTCAAAGCTAAATTTTTAATCCCCATAGTTGCCTGAATCCCAGCCACACACTTCTGCACCTGGTCACTGATGAAATTAGAAGTGATTTATTTAAGCAATGTTACTGTCTCTTTAAACTAAGTGACAAAGTGCTTCTCCCTCTTCCTGATGTCTCGCTGTGTCTGCAGCTCAGAATCCAGCTCTTCAATTCTAAGACAAAATTCCTTAAGCATCCAACACTTGCTGCAGGTATGGTCATTGTGGATCACACCAGTGTCCAATAGCTCCCACTCATACTACAGCCAAAACACGTTCTACAGCCTGTTGAGCCACCTCTATTCAATTTAATTAATTAATTTGGATATTCGATATTTTAGAAGCAAACTTCCTAACTATACTCTTCAGCTGTAATAAGGTCTCCTGATTTAAAGCACATGGTCAATCAAAAGGGACACTGAAGAAATACCTGCCAATCACTTATTTTCCTATGACATCATACTTTGAATCTGACAGGTAGAAACGGGTTGAAGGGGTTTCCTGCCAACTGATATTATCTCTTCCACTGTTGCCTTTCTCATGCAGGTCCACACTCTCAGTCTGCTTCACAGTGATGCTGACCTGTTGCACCCTCCTCCCAGTCTGCTTCACAGTGATGCTGACTTGCTTTACACTCCTCCTTGTCACAGGCCAGGTCCTACAACTCTGCACCCCACAACTAGTGCTATGTGAAAGGGACAGAGACTGAATTGTTTTTACTGCATTTGTACCTGGATTGAATACCAATTGTGTGGGAAGGGGTGAAGGAGCAGGAAAATGAACTCTAGCCTTGAGCAGAAGTGACCTTGAGCAGAAGTGAAATCACTTCAGTGCAATCACTTCCACAGAAATAATTTTAAAATAAATTTAGTATTGTTAATTTTAACCATGCAAAATAAATCTTTTCTGTTGACGTTTCGGGTCTGGACCCTTCTTCATTTCTGAAGAAGAGTCCAGACCCGAAATATCAGCTTTCCTGCTCCTCTGATACTGCCTGGCCTGTTGTGTTCATCCAGCTCCACACCTTGTTATCTCAAGCTCCAGTATCGGCAGTTCCTACTATCTCTGAATCTTTTCTGTTATTGTCTGAAATATTTAATTCACACAATTTAAATGCAACAGATACACTATTGGTTTCAAAGCTTCATATTTTTAAACTTACTTGGTTTCTTCTTGTGTTCTGGTGGACAGGATCTTCTGCTGCCAAAGAAATACTACTCATGAGGATGAAGAACAAGATGAGATTTGTAAAAATGTTGTCATTGACGATCCTGTGGCACAGTACCCGGAACCTAAAAGGAAGATGTATACAAGATGATTATAGTAATAAATTAGATGTGAACAGATTGTTAATTAATCCTTCCATTTTCTTGGCTTCAACCCCAAAAATTATCAATACATACTCCAAAATCAAATCTTCACTCAATTTGCCAGAAAATTTCGGCCCTGATTTTCATTCTTGAATCATGTTGCAAAGGTGGGAGTATTTTCAGCACAACAAACCTAACCTTTAAGAATGATAGCCACAATCCCCACTTTCAGTCTGCAGTGGTGAGGGTGCACTAGACTGGAATTCAGGCTGGGAATCTAGAGATACCTGCTGGGTTCCAAGGTGGGTTGGGTAGAAAGCCAGCCCTTAGGTTCCAAAAATATGTCCATTTGTTAAAATAACAGAATAAAACATAAAACATTCTTCGAACCCTCAACCCTAATAATCTGTTCACTCTCCCGTCTCTGCCACCCAAAACACCTAATGACCTGTACCCTTCCCCACGGTGTCTTATGCCCCCATGCCCCTCTACCCCGTTCCCATGGCCCTTCATGCTTCTACAACACTCTATGTCTCTCTACCTATGCACCAAGGCCCCTCATAAACCCATTTTCAACACTGCCAACTCATGCCGAGCAATATTTCTACTCACCACCCTTTCTTATTCACTTACCATGCCAACTAACCTCCTATTCACTAGTACTCATACACATAGGAGAAAACTTACTAAATTTTATTACTTAAAGCTCTATACAGCAGACTACACTCTATTGAGAAAAACATATTTCGACAGTTCTTATAAAGTTTGACACTTCTTGCCAAGCTTGACATTTCTTTGGAAGTTTGACAGTTCCTAGAGGTTTGTGCACTTTTTAGGCACCAGGTTTGCTATTGTTAATGCTCCTAAATGTACCTGAGCGCCCAACCCCTCAACCCACCCCAATTGTACCTGATCTGCCTCCTGGCACCCGAAAGGGTACCTGACCTGTCCTAAGAATGACCATCCACCAAAAGATGTCTCAGCACTATATCCATAAGGCCATGTATCTCTCCAAAAGATTACCCTGGCTATCCAAACATATCCGTAAAATTCAGATCGACTCTCGCCTGCTCTAAGGTGCACATTAAGGAGACTCCAAACTATCGGATGTCAAAATGCTACTCCAGTGGAGGCAGTTGGTGATTTAAATAGTCACCTCTCCATTGTGATGAAAATTTAGGCCTTACTTAGTGCAATAGAATGTAATTTGATAGCAACACAATTCTTCCTGGTTCATAAAAACTGAAAAAACTGCGGATACTGTAAATCAGGAACAAAAACAAAAGTTGTTGGAAAAGCTCAGCAGGTCTGGCTGCAACTATGAAGAAAAAATCACAGTAAACGTTTCAGGTCCGGTGACACTTCCTTAGAACTGAGTACTATATTTCTGAAATAAGTCTATTTAGGTTTTCAAAGCTGTCAAGAAAGCACAAGTACGTTAGTTTCAAATTTTTGAATTTACAAGTTACAGCAATATGCTTATCTTTTTGTCTCCAACCGTCCATTGATTTTGTAGTTTTCCTACTATGTTCAGTACTCATGGATACCACAATACTTTGGCTAAAACCGTTTAGTTAAAGCTTATTTATTTTTAGCACTTATTTCCACTGGATCATATATAATTAAAGTATAATAGCATTTATATTTAATTATAATATAATTAATTAATTATAATAAAATTACATTGCAAGAGAACATTTAATTTTTTGTTAAAAATTAAAAGGGCTAAATTGGATATACTTGGAAGATCCTAATATAACAGACAAAGTCAACATGGATTAAACAAATTTCAAAGCCTTAGAAAGAGTGAGGAGGCATGGAACCAGCTTACTTACTCTTGTAGAGAGTTGGCATGCAGACAATGGGTCAAGTAGTCTGCACCTATGTCATAGTGGTTCTGTGGGCTGGATTTAATGTAGGTGATGGATGACTCTATCACAGAATTTTCAGTTGGCAAGAGATCTCAAAACCTCAACAAACATTTAGGCACTTGATTTGACAGAGTTGGGCCTTTCCAAGGATCTAGGACCCAGAGATAGAATTCTGCCTGCTAAAATGGCAACACCACTGGGAGATGGTGGTTGTTGCCCAGACTACACACTCTGGAGGCCTAGGACTGTGGCTAGATCTCAAGCTATAGCTGAGTGATGGTGGGGGAGGGGGTTTAAGGATTTAGACTAAAGACAGATAGTGCCTCTCAATGGGAGATCAAGTTTTGAACACTGAGAAAAGTATATTTTTAGTGAGCACGAAGACACCTACTTACATGCACTCACGTTTCAGCATGATTTAATCTCGTCACATTGATGTACAACTTTTCATTATCCATGCAGCAGAGAGAACTGTCAATTCCTGAAATTAAAGTCAGAGTGTGTACCTGGTGGATCCAGCACAGCATTTGGCCCTCCACGCTTCCCTCAGGACAGCAGTCCCAATATCTCCAGGTACTTTCCATGGACAGTAACCACTTTCACCCCACTTCCATGGTGGTTTGCTCTGGACACAATCCAGCCTCACCGCATTATCATGGCATATCAAGCTCTGACCCACTTAAAATACAGTTCTCCACTTCAAAACTATGCTGCACTGTATTGCTCCTCTCAGGCCACTTTGCATGCAGGGACAAGCGCCCAGCACATTGTTGGACCAGGGCACACCTCATGCTTCACTACTTGCTCTTTTAGCGCTCACTTACTGATTACTTGCAGAAATGTCACAGCTGAGATCAAGGATGCAACAGACAAAGAAGTCAGAGGCCGGAATCTTCCCAGCCCCGGAAAGAGTTGGGTAATGGTATGTCATTTGAGAACATGTGGCAAGATCAGAAAAATTTGATTCATAATGGCAAGCAAAGTAAGTGTAATTTTCCATTCAAAGTTTTAACACGAGACAGCAATCTCACTTGTGAGTGAAGAGATGTCTGTTTGCATGCATTAACATCTCATTATCTCACATTATTTATATGCAGTTTGCTGCTATATCACCAGGCAGTACAGAAAAATTATAGACTGCCAATTCCTGACATGAAAGTTGGAGCAGGCACCTGGTAGCTCCAGCTCGCTGCTCGCTCTTCCAGGTTTCACCTTAGCCAGTGTTTCTTAATATCCCAGGGCAAGCTCCAAGGGGAATAGCTACCTGCATCCTTCATCTACTGAGATTGGCATCAATATTCTTCTCTACATGATTGTGGCATATTTCTGACCCACTGATAATATAGTTCACCACTTCAATATTGCACTTTTCAGTGCACCCACACTTTTCATTACAATGTTGCTACAAGACTACATTCTGTGTAGGGACAACCACTCATCTCATGCATCAGAACAGAGTACATCTTAGAGCTCTGAGTGTGTTATTTTAGTGCTTACCTGGATGTTCACTAGATTTCTGCCTTGCTGTTTTGCATTTTCCCACCTCATTCAGTACTTACAGCCACGGCATACTTTTATCTTTCCTTGCCTTTTAGCACAGACACAATGGTGGGCAGCCTTAATTATTCAAGGGACCAGACATCTTGCTGTATTGAACTGTGCCACATCAATATCACACCTTCACCATGTACCAGCAGCTTACATCACAAACACACTGTATGTGCTTCAACCAAATAGTCAAACCTCAAAGTCTAAGGGATGTAGTTCTCAATCAAGTCAAGGGGCCCTGCCATCTATCAAGGGGTCCTGCCACAGTCAGTTAAGGACATTGTCGTAGACTGTTGGGAGTTGTCAGGGGTTCTGTATCTTTACGGTCCAGTCAAGGACCTGCACAGAGATCAGTTGATGAGGTCTTTTCTGGAGTATTGTGTTCAGTTCTGGTCTCACTGTTATAGGAAGGATATTATTAAGCTGGAGAGGTTTCAGAAGAGATGTACCAGGATGCTAAATAAAATAAACAAAAGAACTGCGGATGCTGTAAATCAGGAACAAAAACAAAGTCGCTGGAAAAGCTCAGAAGGTGTGGCAGTATCTGTGAAGGAAAAAACAGAGTTAACGTTTCGGGTCCGGTGACCCTTCCTCAGAACT